GTCCTTAGAACTGGCCCAATTTCGATTTGATAATGTTTTGGAAGAACTCTTTCAAAATTTGGGTCCATGCACATTTTATGCCATTGTGCAAGTCTCCTAGATTTGTTGGCTGTACATCCAAGATTCAAATCTCACTTTCTACTACATTCTTCATCCTTTCCTCTATCACTCCTATTTGGTCTCACTCCAATTCTCTGTAACCCCTTGCGTACTAGTGGTTTCCTGCCTTGCTTGGGGTGAAATGCTTAAAAAAAAAAATCCCAAAGGTGTTCTATGAGACAGAGTCCTGGTAACTGTTTTTTTTTGGGGGGGGCACTTTAACACAGAAAGCTCACTGATGTGTTCCCTGAATTAATTTGCTACCATATTTTATTTGTGACATGATGGCTGTCCTTCTGGAAGTGGCCACAAGAAGATGGTAACAATATGATCACAATTTAAGGCACTTGGTATGCAGCAATACCTTGTCAGACTGCAGCATTCAAACAATCTTTTATTAATACCATTTGTCTATGTAAGCTCCAAAAAAGTATTCTCCATACCATTCTATAACCACTACTATTCAATTGACCATTAACACAAACCAAAATGGATCACTACTTTCATATTTTTTATGCCAATTCCAGGGCCTACTATCTGAATGGCACCGCAGAGATCAAAACTCAAAAAACCAGGTAACATTTGTCCAATTTTCTATTATCCAATGTTTGTCATACTTATCGAATTGCAGCCTCAGTTTTTATTTTATTTTCATTTTTATTTATTTTATACTAACGTTCAAGGCCTAAGAGCCACTCGAAGCAGAGGGTTACCACATGGTATTATATGAGCATAAGAAAATTGATTTCATTTTTTATTGATTATCAAATTTTTTGCTGATTATTTAAAGCCAAAAAATATTTTTAGATTGTGATATAATGGAATATGCATACACTTGTGTTCCTCGTCACTGGAATATGATTGGCTGGTGTCTGTCATAAATACTGACGGACATGTAGGTACGACAGAGTCAAGAGCCTTAGTCTGAGAGCTAAGTCTATAACGACACCCACTGGACGATGCCATTGATCTACACTTCTTACCTACGACGTGTACCAGTCGATTACTGCTACCGTATTATACTTGGTTATAGTAGCCAAAACCACTTAGTTACTTTGTTCAAATATATCACTTTCCGAGACATATCAGATTGTAAGAATTTTTTTTAGATAATAATGGTTTAGTGATAGAAATCATACTAATTAACCCATAGCTGGGAGGAGAAAAGGTGGATTCATAACTTTCCCAACGGTATTTACAAGTGTGTGAATATAATAAATCCAATGGGAATTGGAACTCAAATCACCAATTAACAATTCCAAGCCATTAACAATTACACCAGCTTCACATCAAAGCTTCTATCCCCAAATAGTCACCCATCTAGATACTGACCAGGCTTAAAATTGCTTAACATCAATGATCATACAGGAACTGGCGTTTTAATGTGATGTGGCCATAAGCCTGAATGTTGCACAATTACCTCACAGATGAAGAGGATGGAATATATGACACTGAAATTTGAAGGTGCATTGGAATAACAAAAGATGCCTTCGAAAAATTAAGCAAAGTATTAAAAACCAGAAAAATTTCATTGCAAACAAGAAACTGTACAGAACTTTCTTTCTTTTAATCATTTCGCCCCAAGCAAAGCAGGAATGCCACTATTATGCAGGGGGTTAAAAATTCTGGGACACATATGCAGAAAGAGGGGTTGAAGAATTTAATGCATACAGGCTATATTGAAGGCAAGATGGAAAAAGGGAAGCATTAATTAATCTTCTTAATGTGCTTGTGTAAAAGCTACAAAGGACAGGAAGTTGTGGAGAGCCGTGATCCCTGAAAGGATACAACACATCAAAGAAGAAGCAGATGAAAGAAAAATGCATTTTAGCATAACATATAGAGTTTATTTTGTTTCATTCTTTTTTCATTTATTTTAGTTTTTTTTTTATTCCTGTTCACATTTGCTTCCCATCATGCATTTGTTTGTTTATGACTTCCTTCAATCTGAATTTCTTTATTAATTCCAGCTTTTTTTTTATTTTTTGTCTTTCCCCACTGATTAATTTATCATCTCTCTTCCTTTATTTTCTTTCTTTTACTTATTCTTCTTCATATTCATTCATTTAATTATTTGATTGCATCATCATACATATTATAATCCTGTCTGTTCTTTAGTCAACCCATACATTTTGCTGTGCCAATACCACATAAAAAATAAGCTATTCCATGGCAATGAAAGACAGAAAAGAAATGTTAGAGATGCTGTCTGGTTCAGTCAATTATGTGCCATGTGTGATACATGCTTAGGCGATCATGTATCTTGATACATGAATGATGAGGTAGATTTTTTCCCGCAGTAGGTTGCCATTTCTTTCTGCGGTAGACCAGTTGCCATCCAAGGCTATAGAACCTAGTCTTTCCTGCTATTTATCCATAGCTGGGGGGAGAAGAGGAGGATTCATACCTTTCTCAAGGGTATTACCATTTACTAGAAAAAAATAATTATCATCATATTATAATTCTGTTCTTTAGTCAGCCCGTGCATTATGCTGTGCTAATATCACATAAAAAAAAGCATTAATTCCTATTTTTTAAGCATTTTAGTATCTATTTTCCTTTTTCTTCATTCATTCACTTTAATTATATTGCTATTTTTCAAACATTTAAAATACAGCTACTGTGATATGAAATTTATATTAACCTCTAGATAATATAGAACAACAATTGTCCAAAGCTTACCTGCTCCATTACATTTTCAGTCCCTCTCAACATTGTTTGAACAACACCTGTTTGAACAAAGGCATTGCCATACACATTAGATAGAGAAAAAATGGAGCGAGAGCAACTCTCTATGAACAGATTCAAACCTCCTTCGCATATTTAATTTATAATTGCTAATAAATAACATTAAACAGATACAAATTATAAACACGATCATTAACATTTTAATCTGTCCATCCCAAAGCAACTTTTACTGCGTTTATTTTTATTATTATTATTTTTTTACGCTTGTCAAAAGGTTTGTCATTTCAAAGAGTTTTGTTAGGGAATTTTATGGACATAAAATAAATAAAAACTTGATTACAATTTACCTTGCTAATTCTTAATTCATTCCTCCTTTAAATAAATAAATAGAGAATTCTATAATTTTATGACAAATCACAACACATATATTTTAAAAAAAAAAAAGACATTGTAGGTATGAAACATATTGATCACATATGCAAATGTATGTGTATATAGTGTGTGTCACAGATGCAAATGTATATATCTTTCTCTCTCATATATATATATATATATATATATATATGTGTGTGTGTGTGTGTGTGTGTGTGTGTGTGTGTGTGTGTATGTGTGCCCCTTGATATAAAGTGATACGCATCCATACTTGTTCATATGCATATTAATATTCATAAACGCAGACCTCTATAAAATAATGAATGTGTTTACATTATTTAAAATATTAAATCATTTCTTTAGAATTTAAATATTTTAAAATTCATCAATTTCAAATTAAAACCAAAAAGGCATTTATGTATTTGTATATATATATATATATATATATATATATATTTGTGTGTGTATGTGAATTGAGATGTACATGCAAATTTAAATTATCTGTGTCCATCTATACATGCCCAAACTTTAAAGTCTGACATTGTTTTAAATTATATATTCACGCAGTGATAATGTTCATATTTTAAGCATAAATAAAATAACATCTAAATATAAATATTACCCATAATAGTTTCTTTTTGTGTTTCTTTTCATATGCTAGATGTAACAACATATATGGAACAGATATAGTATTATGGTATAATGCTTGCATATGGTATTTTCTAAGCTTTCCTTAGTCAGGCACAAGGCTGTAAGTATTGAGGCACCCATTAAGAATTGAATTCAATACTGGAGTAACAGTCACCGAGTTTGTTTAATCAACAAAGACTTAGCAGCAATGAGAATAGATAAAAATAAATAGATAGATACGAGAGTCATTCAAAAAGTTCTAAGCCTCACCCAGAAAGAAGAGCCATAACTGAACAATTTTGTTATGGCAACACACTAAAAATTCTTATAAAACTAGAAAAAACTAATTCTCATTTCTGTCTTCATTTCTGTGCTGATAGATAGATAGGAGAGTTGTTCAAAAAGTTCTAAGCCTCACCCAAAAAGAAGAGCCATAACTGAACAATTTTGCTATGGCAATACATCGCCACTTTTATAAAACTAGAAAAACTAATTCAGATTTCTGTCTTCATTTCTGTCCTGATAGATAGATAGATAGATAGAAGTGTCATTCAAAAAGTTCTAAGCCTTACCCAGAAAAAAGAGCTATGGCTGAACATTTTTGTTATGGCAACACTCTGCAACTCCTTAGAAAATTAGAAAAACTAATTCTGATTTCTGTCTTAACAGAATAGAAAAGATAGATAGATAGATAGGAACAGACTCAATTTTGTTTATCAACATTTCAATTATATATTCAACATCATTTACAATGACTTGTTGTCACTTTTCAATCAGCTCAATTTATCGCTCACAATCTGTTCAGATCTATCTACCTAGATGTTTAAATCCATATATAAACCTGTTTAGAACCTAGTCTATCCTGCTATTTATCCATAGCTGGGGGGAGAAGAAGAGGGTTCATACCTTTCTCAAGGGTATACCATGTATTAGAAAGAAATAATTATCATCATATTATAATTTCTATTCTTTAGTCAGCCCGTACATTATGCTGTGCTAATATCACATAAAAAAATGGACTATTCAATTTTGATGGCAATGAAGGACAGAAAAGTCAGAGATGGTTTCAATGCAAGAAAGAAATAATTACCCTCATATAATTCTGCCTGTTCCTTATGACTGAATTCAGAAATGCAATTCTTCTTTCACTATCTTTAAGCATTAATTCTTATTTTTTTAAGCATTTTAGTATCTATTTTCCTTTTCAATGAATGACAGACAATTTCCTCACATATCTATCTATTGTTTTCCAAATCTTTCTAACTCTGTATAGTTTTCCCAATCTATTTGTCTCTCTTAGATTTATTTTATTCTGATCTCATTCAGTCAATCTGTTCCTATCTATATATCAGTCTCACTCAATCAGTCACTTTGTTATTATCGATATATCTCAATCGGTCTATTATCTATATATTTCACTCATTCTGCATTTATCTATCTTAGTTTTTGCACCCTGAGTATAATGATAAGCTACATCGAGCAGCATGGCCCTTGATCAGGAGTTTTTGAGGAGCAATGAACCACCTCTTAACTGGTGTTGTACACAGGTCCACCCTGACTCAGATTTTCACATCTATCTATCTAGGTTTTATTGGTCTATATATCTCAGTTTTATCTATCGCTCTCAGTTTTCCCAATCTATCTGTCTCTCAGTTTTTCCTGTCTATCTCTCTCAGTTTTTCCCAGCTATCTCTCTCTCTCAGTTTTTCCCAACTCTCTATTTCTCTCAGTTTTCATCATCTTTCTCTCTCTCTCTCTCTGTTTTTTCCACCAATCTATAGCACTCAGTTTTTCCCATCTATCTCAGTTATCTCAATCTATCACTCTCTCTCAATTTCCCCCATCTCTCTCTCTCTCTCAGTTTTCGCAATCCCTCTCTCAGTTTCCCTATCTCTCTCTCTCTGTTTTCCCAATCTACCTCTCTTAGTTTTCCCTATCTATCTATCTATCTATCTATCTATTGTTTTCCAAATCTTTCTAACTCTGTATAGTTTTCCCAATCTATTTGTCTCTCTTAGTTTTCACTATCTTTCAATATTTTTCTTCCAAAATAAAGTACGAGTAAATTTGATTCAATTCTATATCTACCATTATTTACAATGGCTTATCAGGCAGCTTTTTGATACCTTTTGAGTAAAATTCAGGTTTTGATGTGAAAAACTTTCCAATGAACTCTTGAAAGTTTTTTCCTCTCTAATGTTGTGCAGCAATCATAAAAGGTAATAATGGTTGCTGCAAGGTCAGGTGAACATTGCTGGTGAGATAGAATTTGACAAAGTTCCAAATTTTTTCCTGTACTGGTCTTGCATTAATATGCCTAGGTTATGGAACAGAGGGTAGGGTTCTACCACTGAAAGCTAAAAATCTTTAGCATTCACTGGTAGAATCACATCTCAGTCTCTTATCCATCTGTGAGGAAATTGTCTGTCATTTACTGACATAACACGCTTTTCTTTGTTTCTAATGACAGTTTCCTATCTCTTAATGCTTTGCTTAGTTTGTGAAAGGCATGAGGAGACTGTCCAGCATTCACTGTCATATAGGAGATTAGATATTACATAACAGTTCAGCACTCTTTTCTTTGTTTCTAATGACATTTTCCTATCTCTTAATGCTTTTGCTTAGTTTATGAAAGGCATGAGGAGACTGTCCAGCATTCACTGTCATAGGAGATTAGATATTACATAACAGTTCAGCACTCTTTTCTTTGTTTCTAATGACATTTTCCTATCTCTTAATGCTTTGCTTAGTTTGTGAAAGGCATGAGGAGACTGTCCAGCATTCACTGTCATATAGGAGATTAGATATTACATAACAGTTCAGCACTCTTTTCTTTGTTTCTAATGACATTTTCCTATCTCTTAATGCTTTGCTTAGTTTGTGAAAGGCATGAGGAGACTGTCCAGCATTCACTGTCATATAGGAGATTAGATATTACATAACAGTTCAGCACTCTTTTCTTTGTTTCTAATGACATTTTCCTATCTCTTGATACTTTGCTTAGTTTATGAAAGGCATGAGAAGATTGTCCAGCATTCACTGACAAATACATTAGATATTACAGAGCAGTTCATCACACTTTTCTTTGTTAGCAAAGTGTTATCTCTTTTACAAAAGATAAAGAGTGGGGAATCATAATTTCTGACCTTATGTTTTTCCCCCAATTCTTTATCTTTCAGAAAAGAGGTAACACTTTGCTTTTGAAATTTCCTTAAAAATCATTTAATCACCAGTTACTTACCATCGCCTGAAGAAGTACAATCAAAGTATTGAAACATGAAAGTTTTTGTGTAGCGATTTCAACATGTTTTTACTGTTATCTTAAAAATAAAAATAATAATAATAATATATTGCTCTACTTTGTATTGAGCACTTTTTTAAAAGTAAATGCTACAAACTGTGGAATTTTAATTCATTTGTTCTTTTTCTCATTTGGATATTTATTAATATATTTATTTTATTCTGATCTCAGTTTCAATATTACATGTGGTCAAAAACTCGTTTTATAGGATTGGAGAACTTACATGCAGTCCTTGTCATTTTGAAAAAGAAAGAATTATTAACATAATAATTCTGTGTGTTCCTTGGTTAGCATGCCGCCAATACCTCAGAAACAATGGACTATTCCATTTTGATGATGGAGAATAATGGAAAAGAGATATGGGACAAACTTTCACAAAATTCTTTCTTTCCTTCACTACCTTCTGCATAAGTTCATGTAGTTCCCTTTCTGCACCGACTGTCAACATTGTGTCATCTGCATACATTATGTTGTTAAGATTGTACCCACAAACAACTAATCCAACAATCCCACCAACAACTAATCCAACAAACCTACCAACAACTAATCCAACAACTAATCCAACAACTAATCGAACAAACCTACCAACAACTAATCCAACAAACCTACCAACAACTAATCCAACAAACCTACCAACAACTAATCCCACCAACAACTAATCCAACAAACCTACCAACAACTAATCCAACAAACCTACCAACAACTAATCCAACAATCCCACCAACAACTAATCCAACAAATCCACCAACAACTAATCCAACAAACCCACCAACAACTAATCCAACAATCCCACCAACAATGTGTAGGAATCTTTCCATTTGGTTTTTTGTTGAATGTTAAATTTTCGGAGTGTCGGGATTTGATACAATAACAAAATATAGCGGCGGGGTTGCTCGTAATTTGTCCGTTTAGAATAATCACATTATTTTCATTGAAAAAATAAAATTTAGTAGAAAGGACAATATAGTTTCAACAAATTTGATATTAATTTAATATAACGACAAGAATATTTTATTTTGGTGATAGATTGGAAAGTAATGTCTATTTGTTTGGGTTGATAAAATTCTGAAATAAAATATAAATTATCTTTGTGTATGTATGTGAGAAATAGTGAAATGCTGTTATATGTGTGTTTGTATGAAAAAGTCAACGTGTGTGTGTGTGTGGTTCAGAGTAAAGAGGATACAAGAGATAGTTAGAAATCGTTTCTTACTGTTGGCCAGAGTCTGAAGTTTGTCAATGCTGTCGCTTTTAGCATGAGGTTGGGAAGATCATAAACGAGAGTGGTGTGGAGCTTAGTGACAGCTGTGTGTATTCTGTTTGAGGGCCCAGATCTCAATTGTTTTTACATACTTTTTCATAACAAAATCAGCTCTAGAATTAAATTATTTATTTATTCGTAATTGGCCCTAATAAGCCACGTGTGATGTTTTCTACTACGTCCGCACGATATTTTGGCAGTATCTACCTAAATCATGATGACTAATACAAAAAACTTTCTGATTTGTGTTCTATGATTTTATTTGCGTGTTTTAAGATGTATGTATTTTCATGAGTGTGATTATTTTATAAATATCGTATTTGATATTTTAGTGGATACGACAAATAAATCATGGTTGGACTTCTAATTCCCTCAGAATCATCTCACTGTATAGGCTGAATAAGTCCATTGAGAAGATACATCCTTGTCTTATAGCCTTTTCTAGTTTTGTATATTTACTGAATTCATTTTCTATCCATACGCAGGCAGTTTGCTGCCTGTATAGGTTCTGGATTATTCTAATATCCTTCCCAAATATGTTGAGGTTAACAAGCAGTTCCAACAATACTTTGTGACATACTTTATCAAATACTTTTGCATATGGTCTAAAAACTTGTATTATAGGATCGGAGTCCGTGTTTATGAACCAGCCCTTATGATTTTTAAAAGAAATAAATTTACTTCATTTTGATGCCCGTTTCATTATCCTGTCTAGACTGAAACTTATACAAACAATTTGAATTTGCTTCCCTTGACAAAACTTCCTGTTAAGAAGTGACGTTTAAGAAGAAAGAATTTTGCCCTTGATATTATTCAAAGTGAAATTAACCAAAGGAAGCTAACCTGAAACTATAGACTCAAAGACAACAGAACAAGCAATAAATAAACAGAAAAAAATGAAGAGATATCCCTAGACAGACAATGAAACCAGGGGTCATTTACTGCCCTGTTGTCATAAACAATAGAGTAAAAAATCAATCATGCAGTTAAATATGAGTCCGTCAAAGAGAATGGTTTAGAAAACCTCAAGAAATTTTTATATATGTATATAACAAAAAGGTCATAAAAAGTTATTGGCTTGACTAAGAAAGAATTTTAAAAAAAATGGAATTTGGTCAGATTTTACTAAGGGGATCTAATTTTTAATATGTGCATCTATTTAAACATATCATAATTTAAAATTTAATTTAATTTAAGAGTCAAATGCATGTGATACATGATTGACCAATAAAAATCAAACAACACAAAAGTAAAAATACCAGAATTTCTTTATTTTTGTTCCCCATTTCCCAGTCTTGGACAAAGCTTTAATAAAAATGAAGCATCCTATATTTATAAATGCTTCATATTTGTGTTTTATCTTATCATATATATTTTAATATATTTTCTATTTATACATGTTTTTATGTACATACGCAAATTATAATAGCGCAGGTTTAAAATAGGCGAATACACGTGACAAATAATTGACCAATAAAGGTCAAACAGCACAAAAGAAAAAAATACCAGAATTTCTTACTTCTTTTTCTTGGTACCCCATTCTCTGACAAAGCTTTAATAAAAGTGAAACATTAATAAATGTTTCATATTTGTAACTGTCTATATTTCTGGGATGAGGTATTATGTACACTATTTACATTATTTGAACTATTGTTCTCATCTTTGTTGCCATATTTATCACGTTTCAGACAATATACGCTCCGGCCTTCTTCAAGTGGTTGGAAAGTCAAACTGAACCCTTTATTTTGCTCGCTGGTGTAGACTGTTTTAGTTCCATGTGCCATGTCTAATGGATGTCAGTTATCAGTTATCTCCTGTTAATTCACCTCTTCAAGTTCTCCACCACCTTAACCAGGTATTGAACTCACAACTCTTTGGGTCCTGTCATTGGATCTAACCAATGCCTTCATCCACTGTACCATGTGTCCTATTTGTTCTTTATTTTATAATTCTGTTGGATCCTGATCCATATTTGATCTCAAACTCATATTGTAATTTATAAAACTCCAGATTCAGTCATCATGTAAGAGTTCCTTTAATCCATATTTCTTTTATGAAAATATAGTGACTTCTTTTATATCAGCAGAAGAATTCCCAGTAGACTTGTAATTTTGAAACAAAATGTATTTACTTCATTTTATCCTTCCTGGCTGGTACAGTAAGTGAGTAAGTCCAATCCCTGAGCGGGAAAGTATAGACTTAGTGGAAATAGTGTGAGCAATAACTTAGTAGAACTGATAGAGCTGAGTTGGCAACAATAGTCAATTTTTGGTTTAATCTGACTCTTGTAAAAAAATAGAACATAACAGGAGTCCAATACTTTCTGGAGCAATATAAGGAACTGACCATTTTTCCAACATCTTTTGCTGAGATCACGGGAAAGGATTTGGTACAAGAGTCTGTCACTGTGCATACACAGTCTATGGCAAATTCTTGGGACAAAAGAGTACTAAATAAGAACAAGTCATCACTTGACATGGGCAGTGGAATGAGAACAATATTTCCAGTAGATTAAATAGACAGTTTAGTTCAAAATTCTCTGAAGATATCTGAAGAAAATCAGAAGGCATAAGGGCTGAAATGTTGTAATAGTGACAATAGAGACAAGGACATCAGTTCAAATGTAAATTAATCAAATAACACTTTCTGACTTTTCTATCTTCATCTAAAGTAAAAATTGCGGTTCTGAAAATTTTTCATTAAGTTTGACAGGACATCTTTTTGGAAAGGTTCAACAAGACAATGTATGAAAACAATGCAATAAACACATTAATAAAATTGAGTCAGTGTACAAATAATGCTATCTGAGACTTTTCACCTGTATCATCTCTCTAAATATACATATATATATATATCAATTTGTTCATACCTCGCTCCGGCTTGAAGCAATCAATCGGATGCCTAGTTACACTGATGAGCTGTGATATATTGAAACATGCTGATTGTGGATAACTACTTATGCTCTTATTTGCCAATTTAGCACTATGGAGAAAAGGAAATATTTAATGCATCACTCTTCATAAGAATTGAATGCTATGGTGGCCAGTATGGCATTTATATATCATGTATATAAGGCATAAAAATATTCCGTTTCTCTGCTGTGCACCAATAGCCTAGAGGTAAGAGTCTCTGACTGATGTTGAATTTTGAACCCAGCTCGAAGCAACTGGATGTTTCTCTCTCATATCAGTAAATATATATATATATATATATATATTTTTGAATAAAAGACAGACCACGTTAAGATTCCATGTAATAAGCTATTTCACCATAACCCCTTTAACAGAGTTCTGGATCATCAGACTTTACTTCCAAAAGCTGAAATGAAAAATGAAAAGAAATTCACACGTTTTTGACGGACCTCATCAAGTATACGTAAAATTGAGGGAGTGAGGTGGGAGAGAGGATATGAGTATGTCATATGTATCATTTCAGTTTCCTATTTTTAACCCCAGTGTGTCGGCTAGATGTTGCTCAAGGTCTACCCATACGAATTACCTAAGTTTGCATAAACTATATATATATATATATATATATATGTGTGTGTGTGTGTGTGTGTAATATATTATATATATTATTATTTATATATTATATGCATGGTACTTATTAAAAAGTACTCAATATCAGAGATAGAATTAATATATTTGGTTGGATTGATGTGAGTTTGAGACCCTGGGTTTCACGCTTTTTAACAACCAAAAGCTCCAGGAAACCCAGGGTCACAAACTCACATCAATCCAACCAAATATATATATACACACAAACACACACATCATCTATACATCTTATTTTAACAGATATATTTACCAAAATTACAGAAAAATACTTTGAAATACTAAAGAGTAAATTCATTTAATAAAATTGTCTTTGGATTTAACCACAGCCTCCAGATAACTTCAGAATCTCCTGCAACTCCTCTGGAGGGTCTCCTTGTTTAAGTTGATGAATACTGCCATAATCCTTGCCTTCAGTTCATCTTCAGTGTTACAAGGAGTTCTCACTAAACTGCCCCCCCGACACACCCACACATAATAATCAAAGGGTTTGCAGTCTGGGGAGTTAGGTGGCCAGATGTAACAGGTGATGTACCTGCAGAAATTGCCTGACAGCCATGATTGGGTTATCCTGCTTGTGTAGCATGGTCCAAAATCCTGTTGCCAGATATAGGGTCTTCCAGTAGCCACCCTCTTGACCCAAGGCAGCACTACCTTCTCAAGGCACTTGATGTAAGCCTCTGTGTTTAGTCTGAGGTCCTGTGGGAAGATGAATGGGGGTATAACGTCACCATCATTAGTGAACATTCCAAACACCATGATGTTAATGGGATATATGATCCAACTCTCTCCAAATCCTCTGCACTGTTCTTTGATTGACACCCAGACATTCTGAAATGTTTGTATTGGAGCTTCTGGTGTGGCCACCAAGCAGTACAGCATGCTGTTTTCAAATTTTGGGCTATGTAAATTACTTTATGGTGCTCTTTTTCTCACAGATGGTGCCCAACTGACTCTATTGTAATGTGCAAGTGACAAAAACAAACAATAGATTTTATAAAAATATCTTTTTGTTCAAATATTTATAAAAAATTACAAAATGATTAAAATTTGTAAACCAACTCCAATGCAAGATTTATTATTTAGCAATTTATAATTATAAATAAATATATTATGACAAGTTTTTTATTCAGTCTAGTACATAGTGTTTAACATCTTTGTTGTCATTTCTCAAGAATAGAGAAAATGCATACATCCACTTTCATATGTCAAAAATGATAGAAAGTGTTAATTCCCTTTGTATTTCATTGGTGAGATGTAAGTTCCACTCAAGCAGATTAGTGCTTCACTGATCATTATAATCTTAACCTGTTACATCCAGGGTCAACTGTTATCTTTCCACATATCTTCACAATCTGTGCCTATGCCTTTGTAACCCTCTACCTTGACTGGCTCTTGGGCCTTGTACAGGGTGAACATCCTTGTAAAAATTTAAAAAAAGATGAACATTCACATGGTAATCAAAACTAATAGTGATGTCAAGGGAATAACAGTTCTTTTCACACACAGTTTTGTTTTTGTGGCCACAAAGATTAAACATTGCTATGTTTTTATTTTTTTGCTCTTTGACATAAGGCAATATCCTCCTTACCCTAAACCCTAAGACCCACCCCATCATATGATTCAAGAAGCATTCTGCAAAACCAAAATCATATATATATATATATATATATATATATAAAAACAGGTTACCCCACCCCCACCCAAAAAGAACAAGAAATTTGGTTCAGTTTATTTAATTGCTGATTAAATTTTTGTTAAAGTTATTTGAAACAAAAGCAAAGGATAGAAATTTAGTCACCTAAAACAGAACAAAAACCAAATGTTAGATGTGGTGTTCAAACTAAAGAACGCTGGCAAAATTTCTTGGCATTTTTTCAGTCTCTAAGTTGAATGTTCTTAAATTAAGCATTCAACTCATGTTAAAAATTTGATAACTACAGCATCTTGGAACAAATGCTTAAAAAATTTATGTTAGTTAATTTTTTTAGTTCATTCAGTAAAATGTAGTTATTTTTTTATGTTAGTTATTTTTTTCATCATATACTAAATTAAAAATATCCTGTCATTTTGTGGGGAACCCTTTATAAAAAATTTTTTTTAAAAAGCGAGGGTTAAAATGAGATAACTGCAGATTCAAAGTCAAAATATTATCATTGATAACTCTCTCCTCCAATTTGCAGATCCTCGTTACGACAGGGTGCCCCACAAAAAAAAAAGAAAAAAAGTCACACACAATTTGATCCAGTTTATTTAATTGCTGATTAAATTTTTGTTGCAATTATCTGAAACAAAAGCAAAAGATATAAATTTAGTAGCTTAATATAAAACAAAAACACAAATGTTAGACGTGGTGTTCAAACGAAAGAACTCTGGCAAAATTTCTTGGCAATTTTTTCAGTCCCCAAGTTGGATGTTCTTTCTTTAAGAGAACAATCCCCTTGCCATGAAAATTTGATAACTGTAGTATCCAGGAACTAAAATGATTAAAAACTTTATGTCAGTTAATTTTTTTTTAGTTCATTCAAATAGTAAAATATATAGTTAATTTCTTTTTATATGTTAGTTAATTCTTTTTTTTTTTTCATCGAATAATAAATCTAAAATTTCCTGTTTTTTTTTTTTTTGTGAGAGCACACTGTATATATAAAACACAAAATTCCTTGATCTGCAGCTGTGAGATTGGTGTGCATCCTGCTCTAGTATCAAATTATGGGTGTGGCATGGCAAACAAATCTGGGATAAGATGGAATCAAAAATAGGATTTTAGACAAAAAGAATGAGTTAGCGAGTGAGTGGGTGGACACTTGATGTGAGGGCAAGGAAGGAGAGTTGAATTTAAGAATGTATCAAGCTAGTTTTGTGATGGAAGATATCAACCAGGTCACCAAGAGGAGGACTGCATTATGGGAAAAGTTCTCCCAGAACCTTTACATATTTGAAGACTCACAGTCTTGATCTCAACCAACTGGATCCATGAAAACTTGTTTGAGAATTTTTCTACAAAAAACATCTTCATATCTCACTTGAGCCCTAGACTTACACAATGCCAGGGATGCTGCTACTTTTACTAGCCGCCTTCTTCTTTTATATGCCATGTCCCTTCAGGACATAGGCGATCATGGCCCTCCACATCTTCCTGTCCCATGTAGCTCTTAATAAGTTTTGTTTTTTGTTATTTCTCCCAAACCCTTTTCTGCTATCCATTTGCTCAAACCAATCAAGAATGTTACACACTGCTTTCCTCTGTCCTGTGAGTAATAGATTTTCCAAGCCTTCTTTCCTCATTATGTGCCACAAAAAATTCAACTGCCTCCTCTTGATGTTAAATACAAGTTTCCTTTTTGTTTCCATTCTCTCCAAAACCTTGTCGTTGCTCACATGTTTGGCCCATGGTATCCTCAGCATCCTTCTGTAGAACCTACTTTAATATTTATATTATTTACTAACACTAATATAAATTGCATTTCATCAAAAAACAGTCAACCAGAATAATTTTGTACAATAACTTTTTAAAGTAAATAGTTTTTGTAATGATAGTGCTCAATATCAAAA